GCAAAACCTGATCAAGCATGTCCTTGTAAACGGAGATCTGACATAGAATCGCACCAGAATCTTCCATCTTCTCTCTCTCTCGCTTCTTCCCCAAAATCGTAATCGGAAAGTTATTTCCGGCGTGTAAGTTCCGAGAAGAAACGACTTAACGAAGCCTTTCTTAATGGGCTTTAACATATATTCGGCCCAATAAGAATGCTCGTAGAAACTTTACACTTTTTTTTTTTTGAAACGTTAGTGCATAAAACGCTTAAATTGATAATTGCTAAACAAACGGAAACACAAACATTTGACAGAACACAAATCAGAACACAACTTCAGACTTCAGTTATATGTTTTGGCGTCAAGATCACCAAAAACTTATTAAAAACAGAAACATAAAAAACACAAACCAAATATGTTGCCAAGTTTTCATCCCAAGAAGAAACCTTAAGCAAACATAATACAACAATTCTCAAACCTGCTCTTCCACATTTGGAGATGGACAACATGTGTAAACCGCCATTCTCTTAATAAAAGATCTAGGTAATGGAGAAGATCCAATCACCAAAAGCCTATCTCCAATCGATTTAAATGCAACACCCCAGCAACGCTACTTTTTGTTTCTAAAGAGCAATAAAATCTGAGTGGTTTTATTGAAATCATTTATGCTGTGTCTTGTTACTTTACTCTTGTTAGGTTCCGTACTTTTAAAGATACACAACACAAGTCATAATAGTAATAATGTACCATAATGCATTAAAAACAAAATCAGTTGAATTAATTAAATAGTTAATTTTTGATGAAAAAATTACACGTATCTACTAAAAATTTATGTCTTTTATTTTTCTCCGTGTCTCATTTGTTTTTGTTATTATTGTATATATATATAACTGTTATGATTAGATAAGTTTATCTTTACTCTTTGATTTGATTGTCACCCTAATTCTCTAAAAATAAAAATGAAATTAAGTTGTATAAGGATGTTGTGATTAGGTTGTATTGTGTGTCCTCAAGATGGCAAGTCTCAATAACTGTTTGGTGGATGCAAAAACATCGCAAAGTTTCAACACTTTTGAAACTGAAGAGCAACTTAAAATCATTAATGTTTGTTTAATTTTATCTCAACTTTTTATAGAGCTTATCTATTCACCTTGATTATTACTATATTATGAATGCACATTCTAACACTATGACACATGAACTTTTACAAATAATTTTATAATTTATTTTATTTATGGATGGTAGACTACATATGGCGATACATATGCATGTGTCGATTTTTACAAACAACTAGCATTTTACCATCCGTCAATAAAAAATTATTCAATCCACTACAAAG